CCCGACCCAGGTGCAGGACCTTGCATTTGGCCTTGAAGCTTGCTTTAGCCAGAAGTCTGTTCTGTACACAGCAGTGATTCAGTGCAGAGTATCCTCCCTATTGTCCATAATAATGGCTTGTTGTTTTGTTTCAGTGTCTGGAAGCAGGACCTGGCTCCTTTTCGAGGTGGCATTTCCAAGGAGGTGGTTGCAGATGTGGTGAGCCGGAAGCTTGGGACACACTACCAAATCATCAACAACAAATTGTACCGTCAGCAGGACTGCTTGTTCCCTGCCAGGTAAGAGCTGTCCAGAAGATCTTGTCTTCCTAGCTGGGACACAGGATCTGGTACTTCCAGATCTGCCAAGTTGAAAGTTGTTGAGCACAATGGTCTGAGTTCCTTAGATTCACAGAATGTTGAGAGTGGGAAGGGACCCACAGGGATCATCCAGTCCAACTCCTGTCCCTGCACAGGACAATCCCAACATTCAGACCATGTCCCTGAGGGCCTTGGCCAAATGCTGCTGGAATCTTGTCAGGCTTGGTGCCATGAGCACCTCCCTGGGGAGCCTGTTCCAGTGCTCCACCACCCTCTGGGTGCCTGAAGAACCTTTTCCTCATGGCCAACCTCACCCTCCCCTGCCACATCTTCCTGCCATTTCCTCTGCTCCTGGCATTCGTTGGTGGCCAGAGAGAAGAGATCAGCGCCTGCCCCTCCTCTGCCCCTTGGGAGGAAGCTCTAGACCCCCATGAGATCTCCTCTCAGTCTCCTTATCACAGCTGGAACATAGAATATTATGTCTGAGACTTAAATGTAGCAAGAGGCGAGTGTCATTGTTGCACCTGAGCGCACAAAGGGTTGGTTGATTGCGGGATCCCAGAGAAAGCTGCAGGTCCGGCCAGAGTGACAGAATGGGCTGCACTGGTGTCTGTGCTGGGGCCTAGAGGCTGCTCTGGGCAGTTCCCAGCCTGGTCAGGGTACGGCTCGAGCTCACCATCTCTTCTGCTCCTGCGCAGAGGGGCAGGCCCATGAGAAACTGCAGGATTGTGCCTTCACCTCACAGCTCTTTGCCCTGTGTCGTTGCTCCACAGATGCAGCGGAGTTGAGCACTTCCTTCTGGGGATCATCGACCGCCTCCCTGACATGGAAATGGTGATCAATGTCCGAGACTACCCCCAGGTCCCAAAGTGGATGACACCCATCATCCCCGTCTTCTCCTTCAGTAAGGTGCACACATCTTTAACAGCTGAGCATTTGAGACGTGCACATCCTCCTTTTCTCTTGGCAACAGATTTGTGAGGATGGTTTCCCCACAGATTTTCTGTGTGTGTCAAAATTGCTTGCTCTTTTATTTTGCTCTTCGTGTTTTCTTTCACTTCCACTTTTCTGGCAGACAGACTTGCAGGCTTATTCAATAGAACAATTTTTCACCTCATTAAGCTCCTCTTCCAGGTCAAAAAAAATGTACCCCCGACACAGTGGAATGACACACACAGCTGGATGGGATCTACACCAGCATCACTGTCGTTTGCTACAGTGCCTCTGTTAAAATTGTAGCCGTAGTTTATCAGCATTGTTAGGGATTTTTGATCATCAGGCAGCTGTCACACCGTTTATCTCATTTAATAAGAATATTTTCATCTTCTTTTTTTGCTACCACAGATAAGTGTTTCTGATCTTCTCTGTAATATTGCTGTCTCCTGTCAACCCTTTTCCCCTGGATTCCCTGTTCCCTCTCCAAACACGAGGCACACACAGATAGAGTTATTCACTCTGTGTGTCTCTGTTCCCAGCCTGGAGAGCCCTCCCATATGTTTTTCTGCCTGTCCCATTGTTAAACCTGACTCTAACATAGTGTCTCATCCTTTCCAACAAAATATTGTTACACCTCAAGCTTCAGTTAACCTTTTTTTTTGCCTTAGCATATACCCAACATGCCCAAATCCTGCACCCTTCCTGCCTAACCCTGTTTGTCATCCTGTCTTTGGCTGAAGCCCAGCAGACAGCAAGATGCAAAATGAAGCAATAAACCATTTGCTCTTGCTAGTTCAGGCCATATTCTGTTTTGGCCAACTTGTAGCATCTTCCTCAGGTCTTCAGCTCACGCAGTCTGAACCCTCATTGATCCATAATTAGTGACTCATCCCCAGCCACCTGAAAACTCCTGAATTTCCATGCAGCATTGCAAGCGCTGTCGTTCAAGAACTGTGTTTGCTGCCAGGTGTAATAGTAAAGCTGAGTGTCTTACCCCTTGACCACTGCACAGCCTGAACTCCAGCCAGCAGAACCCACGTTGATGTAGAACAGGTTGCAGGAGTTTAATCTTTACAGCCATATTCTTTATCATCATCATCCTGTCCCACAAGAACTTTGAGTTCTTTGGTCACCGTTGTGTGATATATGAACTGGAAGCTCAGCCCTGTCCTTGATGGGAGCCCAGTGACCCAGTCACAGCTCGTGTTTAACCAGCCAGTGTTAGTCACTGTTGGAATGAGGAAGGCTCCAGGATTCAGGTGAAGGCAGAAAGCAGAAGGGGTGGCAGGATTGTCCTGTTCTGTATCTCAGAAGTCCCACCCTGGGGTGGTGGTAGAGCTCTCATGGTTTGTTATCGATACCTGTTTATAGCAAGACTGAGAAGGAGCAGATCATAGAAGCACACACTCATTGAAGTTGGAAGGGACCTCAGGAGGTCACCCAGTCCAGCACCTCGCTTGGAGCAGGACCAACTAGATCAGGGTGCTCCAGGCTGTGTCCTGCCCGGTTCTGAGCATCCCTGAGGACATGGTGTCCACAGCCAGCGTTTGACTTCCCTCACAATGAGAATGTTTCCCAAGATCTAATTGGAATTTCCCTTCTTGTAATCAAAACCCATTGCCTCTCATTCTGTCTCTGAGCTTCCAAAAAGAGTCTGCCTCCATCTTCTCTGAACTCTCATTAAGTGGCAGGAGACAGCATTTAGACTTCCCTCAGGCTTCCCCTTCCTGTGTGTGAACAAACCCCTTTTTCCATGTCATGAGCACCAACCTTGGTGGCCTTGGAGTCTCTCCAGTATCTCCAGGTGACAGAGAGATGGATCATTGTACAGGAGGTTTGTTACCAGTGCAAGGAAGCGGCCTGTAGTCTGGTTTCATGAAAGGATTTCATCTTATTTAAGTGCTGGTCTTATCTCTGATTATTTGTGAATTTAAACATCCAAAACAGGAGTGAGGAACTGAAATTCTTACCTGACCTGGGTATTTGTTACAGGAATTGTTAAGTGATCTCTGGGAAGGCTGCAATGAACTGTTGGAAACCTAAATGTCAAAGTGTCTCTGTCTCTGAGGAGATAATATATGATCAGTAGAAAACATTTGTAGCTACACATAGGCACGAGTCTTTAGAAAGGTGAGTGGAGCTCAGGTCTTCTGCAATTTACTAATCAGCTATGGATCTCTTGTGTTGTTTTCTAACATGAAAGTCCCATGTCATGCAGCAAGACATAGCATTTTTTTTTTTAATTCATTGAAAAATTTCAATATTGAGTTGTCTTCACATGAACCCCAACAACACACCACGGTGACCAGAAAGCTCTGGTGGCTGCTTGTGGAACAGTAACAAAGCAAGCAGACAGCTCCTAGAGGGGATGTTTGTTACTGGTGGGCTCAGTCAGTAAACTGAAGTAGATTATTACTCTTATTCTTATATTATCCTTCTTTTTCTTAAGACACCTGAATACAATGATATCATGTATCCTGCCTGGACATTTTGGGAAGGAGGACCAGCTGTTTGGCCAATTTACCCAACAGGTTTAGGGCGCTGGGACCTGATGCGAGAGGACCTCAGGAGGTACGTTTTGGAAGTGGTTAACGTGGGTGAGAAGGTTTAACAGAAGACAAACCTCACAGTAAAAGCCACCTAGCACTGGAGAGCACCAGGGCAACGTTGAAGATGAAGACCATAGGTCTGTTGGCCTGTGGTCTGTCCCCCAGCCTAACTAACTGCTGTATAAGAATTCTCCATGGAAACCTTGGATGATGTAACTAGAAGTTATAATTAGCTTCTCTGTTTCCAACACTTTAGTTTGGAATGCAGAGGGCAAAGGATACACATTCTTCACGCTGTCAGGGCCAGATAACTATCATTTTTGCTGGGATAGGGTTTGTCAATAAAGCAGCAGTTATCTTTTGCCTGCAGAAATCTCCCTGGACACATGGAAATGTTTTCCTTTGTTTCCAACTACTTCTCTAAGAGCTGTGGTTTTTTCACTGCAGGGATGATCTAGGATGTTTGGATAAGCTTCGGGAAGGGTAAGGGGAAGCCTTTAGATCTGCTTTTACTGGAGCCTTGTTGTGCAATAGAGAAACCTGGGATCGTTCCCAAGAATCCAGAGTCATTACTTCAGTAAGATAGAGAACGTTCCTGACTGGGGAGTCTTTCTTTTGGCAAGATCTTTGAGTATTAGCAGAATAAGGGTTTGTTTCCCGTGGAGAGTGACAAACAAAGTGTACAACAGTGAGTGGATGTAGATACATAACCAAAAAACCCCATTTTGATGTCAATCACTTGATATTAGAATGGAAGGTTGAGTGTTTCCCTCTTCAAAAGTTGAAGATCCATGGGTGGATCATAGATGAAGCCTTATGGGATATGATATAGTGAAGGCCCAAAGCTTTTACTTATCAATACTTTCCCAGTGACCCCCACTTGTGTCACTGGGTTACGAGCAGATGCAGAACTTGACCTGTGCAGATCAGTTTGGGGATCAGGATCTACCTGTCCAGCCAGGTGCAACAACGAGGAGTTCCTCAGAGGGAGGCAGGTGACTGCACTGACAGCAATAAAACCTGTGAACAGCTATTTTGAAGGACTCATTTAGATTTAAAATGAAAGTTATTTGGAAAAACAATGAACTCTCAGGTTTGAAATGCAAAACACTAGGCAGGGGGTTTTTTTTGTTTGTTGTTATTTGTTGGGGTTTGTTTTTTAATGGGACTTATTTTGCACTGTCTATATTCAGTGACATATAGAAAAATAAAGCAACAGTGCAAAAAGTGGATTCAAATTTTAGGAAAATTTTAATACCCTTAAAAGATTTGGTGAGGGGTTTGTGTGTAATTCATTGTTTTGACTGCAAAGTATTCTGAAAAGTAGCCTGTGTCACGTTGCCTTAAACACAATATTCACAGGAAAACCTGTTTCATTGGAGTTGGCTGAGGGGTTGGTTTTTTTTCCGCTATAATGAAGAAAATAAAAAATGAAGAATAATAAAAAGAGATCAAGCTGTGGAAATTGATGAGAGTGCTGTTTCATGGTTACATTAAATCATTTATTGCCCTGTATAAACGATATTTTCAGATCTGCAGAAAAATGGCCATGGATGAAAAAAATCTCCAAAGGATATTTCCGAGGTTCCAGGTGAGCTCATTTTCCTATAGCAGGAGAATTTACCAAAATACACCATGACAGCTGCCTGTACGCAGCAATTTCTGTATCTCCAAGAGCCAAACCAATGTAACCCAGAACTTATTTTTTGTAAAAATTAAGGAAAGGGAGACATTTTGTACGACAGCATTTCGCCATTAGCGACGCTCCCTAAGAACTGACTAGTTTATTCCAATAAATCTGATGTTGGAAACAGAAGTTGTGATGGATTTGCTACGTTATTTCTTAATGAGTAAAACTGTCAAACTAGGAACCAGCTTGTTTTGTTCTGTGAAGGGAACTGTTCTGTGCAGGTGCGTGATACAGATGTAAGGATTTGATACCTGATGTTGGAAACAGAAGTTGTGATGGATTTTCTACGTTATTTCTTAATGAGTGAAACTGTCAGACTAGGAATGGGCTTGTTTTGTTATGTGAAGGGAACTGCAGGTGCGTGATACAGATGTAAGGATTTTATATTGATGTGCCTGCTCCCTGCCAGTGTGAGTGCTTTATTCACTGGGCAAGCACCTGACGGTGAATCAACAAGTGTTCTTGCATTAAATGGAGGATAAGAAAGCTGGGGAGGGACTTTTTACAAGGGCAGGGAGTGATAGAACAAAGGGTGATGGCTTTAAACTGGAAGAGGGGAGGTTTAGATTAGATATTAGGATGCAATTCTTTGGTGTGAGGGTGGTGAGACACTGGCCCAGTTTGCCCAGAGAAGCTGTGGCTGCTCCTCCCTGGAAGTGTTGAAGGCCAGGCTGGATGAGGCTTTGAGCAACCTGATCTAGTGGAAGGTGTCCCTGCTGCTGGCAGGGGGGTTGGAACTGGATGAGCTTTAGAGTCCCTTCCAACCCCAACCAGTTTATGATTCTATGATTATTTTTGCCCTCTCTCCAGTGACAGTTTGAAGAGTGTTAACCCCTACTCCTTTTCGTTCCTCCTCCATCCCCAGTAGGGATTGATTTGATACCTTGCTAGGTGGGCTCATGAGATGATGAGAGTTGAGTCTCAAGGATGTCACAACCTTGTCTATCAGTAGTGTTTTAAATTAGTATCAGAGGGATCAAGGGCTGGAGATGTTTAGCATCTCTTAGTGCTCTCTCTGACGTAGAAGGCAGTTAAAAGTATTTGGTACCCATCAGGATAAGGCCTGAAGGAAACAACATCTCTGCCAATTTGTCCTGGGAATTGTTTAAATAATACTATTAAATATTTAGTAAGTGAAATAAAGAAACAAAGCCTCAAATAATTTCATGACACATAACTCATTCTCTTCTTTCAATATACACATGGAGAGAAATACCCTGTGTGGTAGGTGGTTAGTAATGTTTTCACGGCACATGGAGAAGTCAACCTCATGAAGAGGCAGGATCCTGACTCCTGTAGCTCGTTAGCTGTGTTGGGTCAGGTGGAGTGGCCATGGCTCAGAGCATTTTTTTAATTGTTTGTTTGTTTGTGTTTGCAGGACGAGCCCTGAGAGAGATCCCCTCATTCTGCTCTCCCGAGAAAACCCAGAACTTGTTGATGCTGAGTACACTAAAAACCAGGCTTGGAAATCTGAGAAGGTGTGTGGGTGTTGTCTGTCTCCTGAGTGTGAAGGTTGGAAAGGGCGTAGCATTGCAAGGTGGCTTTGAATGTTGAGATGCACCTTGTTGGAGAGCTGTGGGTGATCCTCTAGAGTGGTGGAGGCTTGTAGTGCCCTTGATGGCCGCATCTCTCTGATGAATGAAAGGAAGGAGTCTCCAGAGCTTGAAAGGCCAAGCATTTTTCTTCCATCTACTCTTTTTGTTCAAGGAAACCAGCAGGTGTAAGAAAATGAACCTATGCCAATCCTCTCCTCTTCCATTACAACAAAATTAGCCAATTCTTCCTATTCTAACCCCAAGCTGCTTGTGTGGTGTTGTCAGTCTTTCTAAACCTTTTTTGTGTCACCTCCTTTGCTTGGTTTTGTTCTTGATAACTTTCTGATCACTGTTGCTGGTAACTTTTTAGTTCCATACTCAGTCTACAGTCCAGCTCTCTCCAGACAGTCTTGGCTAATCCGCTTACGCTTGGCTTCACACAATCCCTTGTCCCAAGCTGTTTCCCACTCCTTAGCTGCCAACTAAACATTATCATTTAATGTGTTTGTGCTGGCTCGTTGCTTACAGGCAAGTGTGTAATTTACTGAACTTTGGTTTTTTTCCTAGTTTGAAGAGCTGGGAATTCTTCATAATACTTCTAAAAGCCCACCAGAGAAGGTTTTGTTAGAAGTGGGAATGGAGGGTTTTGAGGCTTCAGCTTTGTTTCTAACTGAGAAGGAAAACAAAAATGAAATCACCATGTAAAACTTACTGGGTTTGTTTTTTTTATTTCTCTTTACTTGAAGGACACCTTAGGGAAGCCTCCTGCAAAGGAAATTCCACTGGTTGATCACTGCAAATACAAGTAAGAGTCTTGATTAGTAAAGCTGTTCAAGGGCTATGGGTTATTTCTTGCCTTGCATGGTGTAAGGTCTCATTTTATAAGATCTGATTCCAGCGACCAGCTCTGTGCAGACAGGAAAGCTTGTGAACATACTTAGGGCAGCTGAAAATTTGGGAGCTTAGCGTGGCCTCTTTCAGCATCAGCTTTCCCCTGTTGGGTCAGGAGAAATAAAGTCCTTTGGGGGACAGTAAAGCCCCAAACAGCCCCCAGACAGATCACTAATAAACATATAGATTGAAAATTGTATTTTATTTTTTTAAATCAAAATGTCTCTCTATCAGTTTTTCTTTATATTCCTGTACCAAGCTGAGTATTCACAATTATTTTTTCAGTGCTACAGTGGTAGCATTATGTCTTCAAAGACATACAGAACTAAGGAATCGTGTCTTCATATGCACACTGGGGCAAGCGTTGGCACTGGATGTCTATAGTAAAAGAGGGAACCTGAACTATGATTGAGCAGATGCTCATTGATTGATTCACACTTTGGACGTTGTTTGGGAGAATGTGGTTTTGATTTACGAAGGTTTTTATTATTGAGCTACTTCAGGGAGGGGTTTTTGGTGTAATATTCTTGTGGGTTTCTGTGTGAAAATATGAACTCTTCGTGTGTATGCGCTTGTATGTCTGATGTTTTGCTTTTTCTTTTGCTTTAAAATTACCTAGTTATGATTCCACCAGCTACAATCTGCTGATAGAACTCATTCATTTGGCTGGATCTGTGTTTTTTGTGCAAATCTGATTGACTTGTCTCATTTTATATTTCACTAGACCGTTGCCCAGATTTCTCCCTTCTGTTACACACAGACTTCCCAACTCCTGATGATGCCTCCTAAGCTCCTCGTACAGCGTAGGCTGAGACATTCTCACACGCTTTTGTCGTAGCTCATGGTCTGGTAGGGTCAACATGAACTTCTTGCTGCTTCCTTCAGTGTAGGAGCTAAAGCAGGTTGGCTGAGAGCAGCCCTGAGGGACTTGGCTGAGGTCATGGACGGTGGGAGCTGCGTCTGGAATTGGACAGAGTCATTTCCTTGCTTCCAGACCACTGTTCTTGTTACACCTCTACATGCATTTGTTTAGTTCCTAGTACAACAAGCTCCTCATCCCTGCCTTGACCTCCCAGGTAATACCAAAAATTAATGCAAAATAATTTCAGATTTACTCCTTGTCACTTACTGCTGAACTAAGTTTAGCTATAATTCCCATCTCACCCCAAATATATATGATGTATAATCCCCATCTCACCCAAAATAGCTTCATTAAAGGAAAAACTCCCTTCCCCAGCCCCAAAATGTTTGACTTCAAAGATTAGTTGATGTACTGAGGGGTTTTACCCACAGGAAAAACAGTTTTCCATATAATTGGAGAAATGTGGGTTTAAAAAAGCAAACAGGCAAGAAAAGAAGATACAGCTTGCTAGGAGAGATCCTCCCCCAGTCAAGCCCACTTTTCTAACTTGGCAGAAAATCCTGAAAACAAAATTGTGGATTCTTTGTTATCTGCAAAGTCCATCTGTTGTGTGCTAGCCTGTTTAACCTCCTAGGGTTGCATTCCCAAGTTAACATGAAACAATTAGATTGAGATTAAAGCAGAATCCCAGAGGGGAAAAAAAAAACAACAAACCAAACCCCAAAAGCCAACTGAGATAGATGTGGCAGAGCAGAACAACGAACAAAAAAGCTCACTGCAAGACAACAGAGAATTGGGGGAAAGCTCCTTGTGGTAACAGTCTCTGGAGTGTAGAGTCACAGGATCAGCATCCACGCTGTGACCTTCTTCCATGCCTTGTTGGCAGTTGTCCCTGAGGCCTCTCTTGGTTTGTCACAGGCAGAGCTAAAGCAGCACACCTTGATTTTTTGCCTCAGTTTTTTGACAGGCAGCAAAAACTGACCGAGCACATCTTTCACTTCACTCACCTTTCCTGTGAGGAGCTTCAAATAAATGTCTTCCCTTTGTTTCTTTCCCTTCCCCACAGGAGCTTGGCTCGGTGTGAGGGAGACCCCCCAGCTGCCAGCTGCGAGGGAAGGCTGAGTGCTACTGGGAGCCCAGTTTCTTAGTGCATTTCCTCACAAAATACAGAGCGTAATCAGGTGCCTCTCTCTGCTTCTCCTTTTAAAGGTATCTCTTCAATTTCCGGGGAGTGGCTGCCAGTTTCCGCTTCAAACACCTTTTCCTGTGTGGTTCACTCGTCTTTCATGTTGGAGAAGAGTGGTTGGAGTTCTTCTATCCCCAGCTGAAGCCTTGGGTCCACTACATCCCAGTCCGATCAGACCTCTCTAACGTCAGGTGTGAGACCTCAAGTGTGCTCAGCAGAGTGTTGTATGACGTGGGGACACACTGAAGGCCGTTTGGTTTGTGTTGTGCCAAGCAGTGGGAGGGGTCTACAAGAAAGCTGGGGAGGGACTTTTTACAAGGGCAGGGAGTGAGAGAACAAGGGGAAATGGCTTTAAACTGGAAGAGGGGAAGTTTAGATGAGATATTAGGAAGAAATTATTCACTGTGAGGGTGGTCAGACAGTGTCCCAGGTTGGCCAGAGAAGCTGTGGCTGCTCCTCCCTGGAAGTGTTGAAGGCCAGGTTGGATGAGGCTTTGAGCAACCTGGTGTAGTGGAAGGTGTCCCTGCTGCTGGCAGGGGGGTTGGAACGGGATGAGCTTTAAGGTCCCTTCCAACCCAAACCAGTCTGTGATTCTATGATTTTGTGATAAGTGCCTCCACTCTTAGGCATCTCCTGGGCAAAGGCTCTTGAAGGTCATGTTCTTTTCTCTTTATTACTGCCCCCAAAGAATCCTTGGCTCATACTACATCCAGAATACAGTTTCACTGGGGTGTGGAGGTCTGTCACCCTCACTGAAAGCTGCAGGCACTAGGCACTGAAATTTGCAGCACAGATGAGAGGAAGAGGATTGGATCGCTGGGCCAAAAATGTGTTAGCTCCCAGATTTCAGCACGCTGTCCAGAACTTATACGGAAGGACTGAGAAAGGCAGGTTTCTTCTGTGCTCTGAAATGAGAACCTGTCTCATGCTCCATTGTAGATCCTTAACCTCATCCTCTACCATAGTTTAGCTAAGGGACAATGTTCTCCATTGAATTAGAAATTCAGAGCTTTTTTTTTTTTCTTCCCCTTCATTTTAGGGAGCTGTTGCAATTTGTAATGGAAAACGATGCCATAGCACAAGAAATTTCAGAGAGGTGAGTTGTGTGTCCTTTCTGGCTGTCAGGCACTCTTCTTCCAAAACATTTTCTTAACACAGTTTTGAAGGAGTCACCTATCAAAGACAACCTGGTATTACAGAGTGTTGGGGATTGGAACGGACCTCAAAAGTTCATCTAGTCCAAAATTAATAGGGTGCAGTGCGATTCATCTTCTGCAATAACAGCAGGAAGGTTGGGGAACTGGTAACAAGCAGAGAACAAGATTATATGCTGAGATCTTTAGTTCAGATGTGACCCATGTCAGGAACCCCCACTAAAATCTATCAGAAGTCGGGAGCTTTTGTCTCAGGGTGAGGTGAGTCACCCCCTGGGAACTGTGTCCGCGTCGTGAGCATTACGTACCCAGGCTGGCAGCCGCCGGCTCCTGAAGCAGCGTTCATCCGTGCCGCTCAGGCTGGATCTGATACGTGAAATGTGATATTTATTATCCCAGATAACAAATACCATCTTGAGGATAACAAAAGCACTGCAGTTGTCAGAGCCGTGAGCGGGACCGAGAAGTGTGAAATTAAAATAGACGGTACAGAGCAGTGCCTGTTGTTTCTCATTGGAAACACAGAAGAGTGAAAGTTGATATATGTATAAAACCAAACCAAAGACTCTTGTAGGAACTGGAAATTGGTTCTGACTGTGCCTCGTGTGTCTCTAGGGGACGCCAATTCATCACTGAGCACTTGCAGATGGAGGATGTCTCTTGCTACTGGGAGCATCTGCTGTCTGAATATTCCCAAGCCTTGACTTACAAAGTGAAAAGGAGGAAGAGCTACAGCGAGATCACTTCTCAGTGGCTGAAGACAGAACTGTAGAGACTTCACTCGTTTGTTTTATTTCTTCAGCTCGAACTGATCTCTGTGGAAATCCGAAGATCAGTGTTATCTTCTTCTTCCCTCAGACTTCTTCCCCTTTACACTAGAGCTACAGAGAACAGCAATAGGCTGACTTTGAAACTGCTCCCTCCCGTAGAGCGGGACCTGGATACACCATCACCGTAAGAACGTTGAGTAGAAAGTTGGATTAGGGCTGTTTGGTTATCACCATGCCAGGAAGAGGTTGTTAGCATTAGAGACTTAGTTACTACCTGTCTCAGAATGATCCTAAATCCCATTCAGTCAACGAGAAGCCTTTCTGTTTATTTTACTGGGCTTTTTTACCAAGTCCTCTGTACTCTCGAGCAAGGTACGCAGGCTGTCAGCTACACTCAGCTGGGAGATACGTGCCCATTTTTTTGGGTAAAAGGTCAGTGTTTTGTCACCTGTGTGATAGCACTTGGGATATTAGGTGTTCTCTGATAGAAGCAGGTACTGGGATTTGGGGTAACTTTTTTAGATAGCTTAGTTTTCTGATGTTTACATCAGGTTTTTAATGTGGTTGATGGTAAGGCTTTGATGTGCCATTGAAAGGACAAATGATCCTTGCACAGGTAAACTACCTACCTCACAGGGGAGCAGCCGGGGGTGATGATGTTGCCACAGCGCTAAGCCTGAGTAGCAGAAGGTCAAGCAGTTGGCAACTGGAATTAAGAGGGTTCATTGTCTGACAGGTGAGCTGGGTGCCCGCACAGCCGTGCAGAACTGAGCCCCTGTTAACAAGCTCTCACCGGTCAGCTGGCCAGACCTCCTCGGGGTCCTTGAGGACTCAGAGAAAGTACACACAGAGATAGTCAGCTCTTTTTTTTTGTCGTTTCACAGGTTCTCTGCTCTGATCCACAATCTTTCTAGGGTTATATATGGATTTTTTGTTGTTGTTGTGGGTTTTTTTTTGGAGGCTGATAACACACCAACTCGCTTGACTATTTGCTTTTCTCTCCCGCTGCTGTTACATCCCTTTTCTCATCTCCTTCAGTCTGGTTGAGGGAATGTCTTCAGCCACACAGCGGCAGCTACTCCTCACATTACTTGTTTTGAGTTCAGTCACGGTTTGCTTGCACTCACTGTATTTATTGTGCCCACTGCAGGCTGCTCAGCCTAGAGAGAGTGCAAATTCTGAAATGCTCTGCGGTCCCTGAGTTGAGAGGGCTGGCAGGAAGCAGCCATATAAAATAGGTTATGATAAATCATAAAATTAGGTTGAAATCACAGAATTAGGTTGGAAAAGAGCTTTGAGATCATCAAGTCCAACCACAGACCTCCAAGTCCACCTCGCGTGGCCTCAAGGCTTTAGGAAGCAGCACATTAATGACAGCGACAGCTCACGGTCTCCTCTGCGGTCAGTTTGGATGGGAGAAGAAGAAAACACTACGAGGAACAGTCACACTAAGTGCACTCCCACGCGTGTGTGTGTGCGTGGGTTATCCCAGCCTGCAAAGGAACAGCCCGGGGTGTTTATTAAATAGCCTGGCTTCTGAGGAACACAACTGTGCACCAGGGGAGGAGGCTTTCTGCTTTGGTATTGTTAATCAATGGTGAGACGGCACCCTGAGAAACTGAAACAGCCACGTGTAGTATTTTTAATCTGTTTTTTAATGAAATGCTTTTGGGATAAAACAAATGAAATACCAGTTTTTGTTGGATGTATCGTTGCTTAGTCTGAATGGTAAGAAAAGATGTGGATAGCCCCCAGGTGCTTCCCTAGAGATGGTGAAGTGTGTCTGTCTGGTTTCTCACGTTAATATTGAGGGTGTCTCTACTTCCAGTCTCGGGTGGCTGGAAAACTTCCAGGGTTCAATCACCTGGGTGCGCCGAGGACTTTTCAGTCGGGTTTTACACGGCTCAACCCCGTCGCTGTCGGGAGGGAGGACAAAGCCCTCGGCTCTATCCGCGGGGAAAGCGGCCC